CCTCTCTTCTTCAGATGTGTCAATCGCCCTTCCTCGACTGGGGCATGCCCGGCGTGGGCGATGCAGCGTACGCCTCGGAGGCGGCGAGCCTGTGTGAGGTGGGCAAGCCGCTGGCGAGGGGCATGCCGAGCTGTAGCTCGTAGGGTGCGGGGGGGGCTTGCCCCCGCTTGCGCCAGCTGTGGGCCGCCTCGTCTACGTGGAAGCTATGGCGCCGCGCGCGATGAGGAGTGCGGGCAGCGCAAGACAGCAGACAGCGAGAAGCAAACACAGGAAGCAGCGCAAAGTGGAGAAGGGCAACGGGGGGCAGAGTTGCATGGGGGATGGGGGGGCAAATGAGATGGTCCATCGAATGTGCCAAGATGGACGAAGGCAGGATGAGTGACGGGCGGCTCTCCATCTGCTCGCACCTCCTCACCCCACCCTCCGGCCCCTGCTCCCCTCGTCTTTCCCCCCGGCGAGCAGCGCCGCGGGGTGAGGGCGGCGCGCAACGGCGGAACAACGCAAACGACGGAGCCCCCGCCGTGCCGTGCCTCTTCTGCCCCGTCCGGTGCGGAGGCCTGCTGATGCAGGGGCGCGTCCTGCTCTTTAGAAGCACACATGGACGAGAGCTCATCCTCACGTCACTGCCGCCACGTCCTTTGCCGGCCTTAAACCTCTCTGCTTTTCACTCGTGCTATTCGTGGCCCACTCACTCACCAGAGAGCCACGCAGCGAGCATGCACATTACACATGTCTCCCCACGCCGCCTGCAGGGCCGTCGTCCACTTCGTACCTCTCCTCCAGGCCCAGCTGCTCGCGCGACACCAGCGTGCGGCGCTTGGCCTTCTCCTCGCGCTCGCGCTCCGCCGCCTCCTCGGCCTCGCGCGCCGCCTGCGCCTGCGCGTCGCGCGTGAAGTAGTCGGCGGCAAAGATCGACGTGACGGCAATGGCGGCCAGGCCGAATGCCAGACCTGTGCGCGAACAGCCGGGCGAGTGGGGGAGGGGGGGGGAGATCAAGCGTCAGCCCGCGCCGAAGCCCTTTGCATGGTACCACATGTCCGGCGCCCGCCAGATCCGCCGCCCAGAAGGAGAGAGGGCCAAAAAAGAGCGAGACGTACCAAGTGCTCTGCGCGTGGCGCCCCAGCGAATCGACTCTTCAATCTCGACGCGCAAGTCGCCGAGCGAGATGGTGAAGCGGTTCTGCAGATCTGCGACGGTGCGCGCGGTGAGTTCGTCGGTGTGGGGCGAGAGACGAGCGAGATGAGGACGAGGAGGGGCGCAGGCGAGGAGGATGAAGAGCGGCGGCCCGCGGAGAGACGGCGTCGATGAGTGCCAGGCGCGACCGCAGAGAAAGAGAAAAGAGAGAAGCGAGGAGGGGGGGAAAAGCAAGGAGAGACAACGTCAGCTGCACCGAAGGAGACGCTGGGCATGCTCAAGCAATGGGCCGCGGCGTGCGCATGCGGCGCTTCAAAGAGACAGGCAACGAGGACTTGGTCCGCTCGAGAGGCGAGCGAGAGAGAGAGAGAGCGAGGCTGTGCTGCGAGCCCGACAACAATCGGAGCCGGCCTCTTTCCCCTCCTCCTCCTCCTCTGCCCGCCGCCTCTCGACGCAAAAGGGGCGACGCAGAGAGGGCACGCGCAACTCACCCTGAATCTCCTGCTCCAGCGAATTGGTATCCTGTTGACTCTCACTCTTGCGGTTGTTCATCTCCACCGTGAGGTCAGCTTTCAGCGATTTCGCTACTTGTGCCCTCGCCTATGAGGCACGGCTGCGCATCAGAGGCAGAAGAACGCGCGTCGTGTGCTCCCCCTCGCCGTTGCGCTCTTCTCCCCGCCTTGGCGCCGCAGCTGATGGCTTTCGCGCCCCACTCTTGCGCGCCGCTGCCTCGCTGACATCTTACAAGCGCGAACGAAGGAAAAAAGGCGAACGCAACTCACTCATGCTTCAGGCCTCCCAGCTCCTCGCCCATGCGCTGCCCCAGGCCATCCACCTCGCGCTGCAGCAGCGTCGTGATGCTGCGCAGCGCCGCGGCATCGTGCCGAGCGCGCACTTGCAGCTCCGTGCGCAACTCCGAGAGCGCCGCGGAGAAGAGGTAGGCCTCCTACGGAGAGGAGGAAAGAGGGGGGGGGGGGGCGGTCAGCGTTCCGACGTCGACACAACTCGCAACGAGGCAGCAAAGCAAGTAAGTCAAGCAGACGCACATTGTCGACCGTAATCCTGCCCAGATTCTTCTCGCGCACTTCTCGTTCTGCGCGCAGTAGAAGCGCACGCGTCAGGAGCATGATGGCTTCGGCTGGGTCGTGCGGGCGATGCGTGGTTTCGTGCGACGCCGAGGCGGAGGGCGCAGAGTCGGGCGATTGCCTCGCGGCGTCCGCATCAGGTGTAGCGGCGGCGGCGGCGGCGGCGTCGGCGGAGGAGGAGGAGGGCGAGGAGTGGGAGGACTGCTTCCGCCCCTGCCTCGCCTCCCTCAAATCCCATCCGCCTCGCATCAACGAATCAACAAACGCGTGCGTGTCGAAGGGATAGAGCGTGGTGCGTTCTGCGTCCGGGGGCGAATCGAGTGGGTCGGACGCGACGCGAGAGAGCGCTGAGGAGGGTGCGTCGGGGGAGGAGGAGGACGACGAGGAGGAGTTGGGCGGAGGAGAGGGAGAGGAAGAAGCAGAGGGAGGCGACGAGGAAGAGAAGGCATTTGAGTTCGGAGTCGAGCTCGAGCCGCTGGCAGCGCCTGCGGCAGCAGCCGTATCTGGTGCGCTACGCGACGACGACGGCGACGAAGAAGCCTGCGCTGCGCCCTCTGCCGCCATCGTTGCCGTCGCCATCGCAGCGCCCACGCCAGCGCCGGCGTCGAGGACTCGGCGCGTGCCTGCGCTGCCCGAGGCAGGCTGCAGCAGCGGCGCCTTTTCCTCGCCTCGGTGCGCGGCCGCCGCGCCCGCCGCTGCGTCTTGTCCAGCTGCACTCTGCGGCGCCGACGAGGCGGGCGCGCTCTGCGCCTGCGCCGGAGCCTGTGATGGCGACGCGCTCGGCGTCGCCGCAGCAGAGGCGGCGCCGCTGCCCGGTGCAGGCTTCAGCATCTCTCTGACACCCTGCGTGCCTGTCGCTCCTGCCGCGCCGCCAGCCGCGCCTAGCGCCGCAGCGGAAGCACCGGCGCTGAGCGCGTGCGCCAGCGGCGTGGCAGGATGCTTGTCGAGACGGTCCTGCGCCTGGCGCATGCGCTGCTTGAGGAGCGAGTCCGTCGAGGTGCTGCTGCTGCTGCTGCTGCTGCTGCTGCTGCTGCTGCTGCTCGCGCTCGGCGCGACGGCGCCGGAGGAGGATACGGCTGCCGGGCCCGCCGTCGGCGTCGTCGCCGCTGCCGCCGCCGCGTGGCCGGCCGCCTCGCTGCTCTCCTTTGCCGGCGTCTGCGCCGCTGCACTCGGCGCCCCTGCCGCCGCCGGCGCCTGCACGCGGCGCGAGTCCTTGATGCGCACCGGCGCCGGCGCGGCAGCGGGCGCTGGCGCGGACGAGGCAGCGGAGTGCGCCTGCGATGGCGATGCACTGCTGCCGCTGCTGCTGGGCGGCGGCGGCGCAGTGCTGCGCGAGGCCGCGCCGCGGCGGCTGCTGCTGCCTGTGCCGGGCGCCGCCGCGGCGCTCGAGGCGGCACGCGCGGCTGCGGCGTGGCGCGGCGCGCGTGCGAGGCGCAGCAGGTGGCGCTGCATCGCTTGCCTGCGGTGTGTGCGGTGAGGAGGTGGTGGTGCGGCGCCAAGCCTGCGCCTCGCCGTCGTCGTCGTCGGCGCGGCGGCGTGCTGTGCCATGCTCCCCCGCCGCCGCCGCGCGCCGTGCACCGTCACGTGCGGCCGGCCCCTGCTCCCACGCCCCCCGCGTCGTTCCCACGCCTGTCGCCTCGGCGCCTTTCTGGCACCGCGCAGCAGAAAAGGCTCCGAGCCGCCTCTCTCTCTCGCTGGCTCGCCTCACTCGCCTCCATTCCCTCCTCACTCCATCAAGCCATCAACAATCATGCGTGTCTCGTCCGCAACGTACGCCTGTCCCGCCTGCATCCGCGGCCATCGTGCTTCCTCCTGTGCGCATACGTCGCACGCAGACTTTGGGCGTGTCCGACCTAGGGGCAGGCCGAGGTCGGCGTGTGAGAGGTGCAGGCGCAGGCGGGAGATGGGCGGCGCACATGCGAGGTGTCGCTGCAGCGATGCGGTGGCGCGTATGCACGTCAAGCATCTGCTCAATCCGGCGCCATCGCCGCATCGAGAGAGGACGCAGAGGCAAGCGTGGCAGCGTGAGTGGCCGCAGCGAACGCCGGCGCAGCGCAGGTAGAACCCCCACGCTCACGCCTGGCGTGCTCCAGCGGCAAGCGCCGCCTCGCCGACCTCATCAGGCCCGCCAAGCCCCTCGAATGCGCGCAGCTGGCCGAGCTCACCCACGCCACCAGCTCAGCCGCAGTGATGTCGGCTGGACTCTCTGTTCGCGTGAGTGACGCTTCTACGCCGCTGTCTTTCGCTCTTTCTCCCTCGTACCCAGCGGCGCACACTCCAAAGACCGCGTGGCAGCGTGGCTCAGAAGTTGTACAGGCGAAGCAAGCGCAGCAAAGGCGTGCCGCTGCCCTGTCTCTCGCCGCGGTTGCGTCGTGCGCAGAAGGCAGTACGACTCGTTGGCTGCTGTCTGCTTTGGACCGCTCGCACCGCGGCCGCACCCCAACGGTCCACTAGGCTGATGCTTCTCTTTTACCCTCCTTCTCTTGCGCCTCGCTTGCAGTGAGCGTCGCAGGTCCGGACGGTTGGCTCTGCCTGGTTCGCCCGTCCACTCTGCGCCTCTCGCCGTCGTGCGCAGCGTATAGCAGGCGCCAACTGTCTTCGTCACCTGCTTGGCCGCCCCCCTCGACGGCGCCGCAACTCATGTTTCCTCTGCCCGTTCGTCCGCCCTCTCCTTCCTTCCCCATCCTCCCCCTCCCCCTTCCTTCGTCTCATCTATACCATCCTTGCACACGTCACCTCTCGAACGTCACTTGATCATCTCATTGCCTCTCGAGCATCTGTCGTGACTCGCGCGACTGGACGTCGAGGAGCCGAAGACTCGCAACGGCCTCGCATCGAACTAGGTCCACTGAACCTTCCACCACTTGTTCAGATCCGCATCGACGCCCTTGATGGTGAGCACTTGCTTGCCCTCATCGAACTCCACCTCCAGCTTGCGATCGCCGGCGTAGACGTCTCTCGGCTCCCTCTTGACACCCAGCAAAGTGATCCTGTCCAGCTTCTGCTCGATGTTGTACTCTCCCTGCACCGAGCCGAGCAGCAAGTTGTTCTGCACCACGAAGCGTAGCTCCTTGTTCGGCGTCGGGATCCTCGAGATGCCATCGTCGACATATGCTTCTCCGCTCGCTTCGCCGTGATCATCCAGGTTGACGAGCAGGCGGAACGGCCCTTGCGCACTTTCGTACGTCGTGTACCGAGGCTCGGCGTGCGTGAGAATGATGCGAGAGGGACGAAGATGCACGTTGATGGCGCCGAGTGGCGCCGGCACGGTGATATTGCGGTCGAAGGTCGTGACGCGGGAGAAGTCGAAGATGTTGACCCAAGCGCCTCCAGCAGAGGGGAAGAATGCCTGCACCGAGTCCACGTCCGGCTGCGCGTTCACACCGACGTCAGCATGGCGCCTCAAAGCGGAAGAGGAGAGCGGGGAGACATACCTCGAGCACGGAAGACACGAGGAGATTGCCGAACATGTACTGTGTGTCCGTGCCTCGTAGCGTGTCGAAAGATGACGGGAAGTCGAACCAGAGGGAACGAACGGCTGGATGTCCGCGCTGAGAAGCGCGGACCATGGTCGTGTAGAGCTCTGGCATCACCTACACGTGGCGGAAGGCGGGAGGAAGAGGCGCGTGTCAGCCGCAAAGAGCGATCGAGGCGGGGCAAGGAAGAAGGTGGGCACTCACTTCGAGACGCTTGTAGAACGCAATGCGCGAAGCGCGAGCCACGCTTTCCCACACATACGGCTCCTGGGGGCGGTACGCTATGTTTTCGTGGTTTCTCGCAACTGAGGCGAGCGAGAGAGAAGGAGAGCGGGAGAGAGGGGCGGCTGATCGTCAGTCAGGTCCTCACTGTGCCGCGCGCGCACGCAAGAGGCAAGGGCGCATAGCACCTCGACTCACAAGGCGTGAAGGCGGCGAGCTGCATCCATCGGTTGCAGAGCTCCTCAGTTGTGTCCCCGGCATGACCGCAGGCATCTGAGCCAACGAGATCTACGCGTGGGTCGGTAGGGCGAGGGCAGGAGAGGAGAGATTCGTCAGTCTCTTCGATGTGCGCAGCCTGAGGATCAAAAGCGACGCACGAATGCCAAAGAGCTGGTACTGCAACATGCCTTGAATCGACTTTGCGAGATATTGCCACGTCGAGAAGTTGTCGCCTAGCCAGCTGGTTGTGTGCGCATTGAGGGCGGGGCGTAAAGCCAACGCGACGAAGACGACAAGGCAAGAAGCCAATAAGGAAGGGCTAGGCGGCTCATACTCACTGGAACGCCCATCGTCCGGCGCCGGGCGCATTGGAGCGCGTCAGGATGAAGGGTCGTTCATTGGGCTTGAGCTTCAGCAGGGCGTTGTGCGTGTGCATCACGCTCAGCGTGCCATCGATGTTCTTGGCTGGAGAGGGTGGGAGCATAGCGTCAGGCACCCGGTCGACGCGAAGGGAGAGGAGGGGGGGAAAGAGAGGCTCACTGTCGTAGTATGGCCCCGCACTGTTGACGGCGTCCATTGCAATCGTGCGCTTGTTGAGATTGTCCTCGAGCGGGCCGCGGAAGTCGCTGGCATGATGAAGGTCAGCGATGCGAGGCGAGTGGCGAAGGTATGCGGGAAGCAAAAGGTAGAGGACTCACTCGCCGTTGTGAATCGCATAGGGTGCTGGCGGCGAGGCGAGCATGAAGTGACATGCAATTAGCGGCAGGCTCTCTGCGCTCTGCGTAGCATCATAGTCCCACTCACGGTCCCAAAGGAAGCGTGTCTTCGCATCTGTGTACTCGTGCTTCGCCGGCTCGTACGTCCGGTCCACCATGCGGAAGCTCGACATTTCATTCATGTCGCTCCAGATGCCAGTGAAGTCAAAGAGCTGCGACATGTTGTGCATGGCCTCCTCCCACCACTGGGGCGTGTTCGGCGCGAAGTTGTCAATGTACCACGTGAGACCGGGCCACACTTCGCCTGTGAACGGTCAGCGGCGAGGAGAAGTGAGCGACGTCGGCGCAGCGAAGCAGGCCACTGGCGCTGCAAGTCTCGCAGCGACTCACCGAGGTAGAGCTTGCCTTCTGCGTCCTTCATGAAGACGTCGAGCTCCTGCCGCGCGTGCCGGGCACGTAGACATCGTTCTCATCCACGGGTGCCGCCGGCACGCCGCCGTCGACGATGGGGACGAAGCTCTGATGATTCTCTCTCAGCTCTTTCGTGTACGCCCTCATCTCCTCTGCCGGCCACATCTGCGCGTTGGGGATGAAGTTGCGCGCGCCTTGAAGCCAATCAATGTCCGCCCACGCCGCTTCGAGCGGAATGTCGGCCTCGCGCATGCGCTGCACCGAGAGACGCGAGTCGTTGATGTTGCGATAGCCCCAGCGCAAGAGATGCAGGCCGAGTGCCCAGCGAGGCACCATGGTGCTTGGCCCGATGTAGGCGTTGTACTGCGCCACAGCACTCGTCGGTGAGTTGAAAAACTTTGCCTTGGCGATGCTCGAATCGTCGTCTGCAGAGCGCGACGCCGTCATCGTCGAGTTGTGAGACGCGTCGACACTGCTGCCGCTGAAGAAGCGAAAGTCGAGCGTGCCGCCAATGGCGCGATACTGAATGAGTCCCTTGCGACGGACAATGTCAAGGCCAGACGTGCTTTGGAACGCAGCGGTGTGGGATGAGAGAGAGCCGTCTTTGAGCTGTCGAGTCTCCATGTAGATGGGTTGATAGCCTGGCTTTCGCGTCAGTGGCTGCGGCAACACGGGCAAAGCGCAGTCAAGACGCAGACTGACCATACATGTTCGACTCGCTTCGAGAGGGCGCGGACGGTCAGTGGATTTGCAGCACGCCAGGCCAGCTGACGCTCTGCTCACAGAGGATCAGGATCATCGAGCGTGAAGAACGTCTGCAGCGTCTCTTCTGTCAGACGCCACGAGGCGTCTCCCACGCCGCCGCCCGAGATGCGCTCGCCGAGGCCGTAGATGTTGGCATCGTGCGGCAGGGCCGACGAGAGCTGCAGATATTGATTCTCGAAGACTAGAAAGCCATGAGCGCGATGTCTTCGAGGCAAGCAGCTGCGAGACAAGCATACTCACCCATGGCGTTGGAGAGGATGGCAGTCGTGTTGCGCTCCGTGTCGGCGTACTTGCCCAGCCCCTCCTTGTACAGCGGCATCTTCTTGCCGCGCGTATCAAAGATGGGTGCTGCCTCGCTTGCGTCCTTGCGCGTGATCCACCACTCAAAGACGCCCTTGTCGCTGTAGTGGAACTCGAGGTGGCTCTGTTCTGCCGTCACGCCCTGCACCTCCTTCGGATCCGAGCTGGCGCGCGTGAAGATGAGATCGAGCGGCTGCTGGTACTGCAGCTTGGCCGTGTCGAAGATGTGCACATGCAGCCTCTCGGGCGCTTCGTACACGACGGCCAGCGTGAGGTCGACAATGTCGACGCCTGTGCCCCTCGTCAGCTGCTGCAGAGAGATGCAGATAAAGAGGAGCACGCACCGTACGCATGACACGGCGGCCCAGCGAGCGTCAGAGGCAGCGTGAAGCCGCTCGCTGCCTCTGTGCGCGGCCCAGCGACGCGATAGCCTGGACAGTGCGTCGTGTCGAAGCTGGGGCGGATGAGCTTGTCGTCGTCGACGTAGCTGCCAGCATCGGCCGCGCCTTCGACGTAGACGCCGGCCGAGGCGTCAGGAGAGAGGTAGAGCGGCGACGGCGCAGAGAAGGCGAGCTGCTGCGGCAGGGCGGCGGCGAGGGCGCCGAGCGCGAGAAGCAGCAGCGGCACGCGCATGGCATGCGGCGCGGATGGGGATGGCGGTGCGGAGGCAGGGTGCAGACGAGTCGAGTGCGGGGTGTGGCTCATGCTGCATACGCCCGCCTGGCCTCGCGCATCGCCAAGCAGAGCAGGCGGCCGGAGGAGGAGCGGCGCGTGCGAGTGGAGTGCGAGAGGTGCGTGTGGCCCGTGCACCCTTGCAGGCCGACATCTCCGGCACACGATGCAGGCGCAGGCCGAGTGTGCCGCTGCGATCCGGGGAAGAGAGCGCGGGGAAGAGGAGCAGGCGCCGTGCCGCCGTCGTCGTGAGCGTGTGAGGGTTTCTTGGCTTGCTTCATCACTCCCACAACGTCAGTGCAGCGCCGCGAGGCGCAGCCGCGACATACATCATATCCGCCATCACGGCCAGCGCCATGCGAGGGCGACGGGCCGTAGTGCATCGCCGTGCCGCCGAGGAGCGAAGCACGCACGGCAGGTTTGAGGCAATGCGGGGCAAGGCGAGCTCGCCAAGGCAGGTCTCACTGCCGTCGCGCAGAGCATAACAACCTGGCTGTGAGGAGCATGCCGAACGTGCCGAGAGCCGGAGTGCACTGCAGAGACGTCGTAGGCTGGGCTGATGAGGCCGAGCGGCGATCGCCTCAGATGTGGCGGCACGGCGGCACCTCCGTGGGTGTTCATCACCCGGCAGCAGCTGACCCTGCGCGATGCTGCTCTGTGGTCGCGTCGTCTGGCGGCGCGAGTCTGCCGCCGCAGCGCAGCGGGGGCAGCGGCAGCGCAGCTCGGCTGCCACCGCCTGCTGCTCCACCGCAAGTCAGAGGGCCCTTTGCGTGATGTCGATCCCGCTCATTTCACTGAGTCGGCCGTGTTCGATGAATCGCTGCGGGGGAAAGTGAAAGGACAGCATCTTCAGGGGAGGGGCGATCTGCTGGGGCCGTGGTCTTCTGTCTCATCGACGACCACTCTCCATTTGCCCAGTGCTCTGCTCGAGCCCTTCGCCGCCGTCAGTGCTCTCAAACAATGCCTCATCTGGTTCCGAGACTCATCAGCGCAATGCTCGATGAACCCGAGAGTGCGTCTCATCAGACGGCGGCCCGAATTTGAGTGCCGCCGGGAGTGCTCTAGCGTCCACCTCGCTCCACCCAATCCATCTCGGGCAGATGCGAGCAGTTGCCGTCGGTCTCTGGGCTCCGGGTCGCTCCGTGGCGACGTCAAGGGCACTACTGCGTAACGGAGGCGTGCGAAGGCGGCGGAGCGGGGACTGGGACGGCTATCTAGCGTGTCTCAAGGGCAGAGAGTTCTCACGTCGAAGCGTCCGCTGCTCCACCTCCTCTCGCGGCATGCAGCGGCGGCACGTGCCTCCGAGCGCACCGCTTATCTTGAGGCAGAACGCATCAAAAGACAGGGGACTGCAATGCCTTGCTCAGCTCCAGCTCAGAGCTCGCGGCTCGTCTTGGGGAGGAGCAGTGGCTGCAAAGCCTCCGACCTCTGCCGTTGGGCGAGGCGGGGCTGACCCTTAGTCAGGTCGTCAAAGCGGGTGCGGCACAGGCCCGAGGCCGTGATTGAGCAGGATTGCCTGCTCTGCGTTCGCTGTGCCGTGGGCCCCGGCGGCGTGGGCCCCGGTCCGGCCATCGCAACCCACGTCTTGAAGGCAGCTGCGCCCGCCATCAAAAAGATAAAGGCAACAAACAGTCTGCCCACCTGAGTGCTAGCGACAGCAACAGCGTGCGACTCAGAAAGCAGCATATGCCGGCAAACGTTGCTGACCTCACTTGTCCATCGCCGCGCTGCCACGTTGCGCTGGCAGCGTTGAGTCTGCAACAGATTGTGCCTGCAATTTATTGCGAGGAGATCGGAAGTGCCCACGCAACAAAGCAGCGCTGCCTTGGAAGAAAGTCATGAGATTGCGGCACGGCCGTGTCAGCGAGGCCTTTTGTGCAGGACCAGCAGCGTGTCACGACGGCGAGCCGTGCGGGCGAGGGCGCAAGGTATCAAGAGAGAGAGAAGGGGTCGTGTGGCACCGAGAGGTGGTCGCCGTACTCAGGCGCTGATGTCGATGTTGATCTGTGCGTGACCAGTCAGCAAGCCTGTCTACCGCAGCATGTAGCTGAAGTATGTGACTGACCGCCTTGGTCACGACGTAGTCCTCGATGCCCATCAAGCTGCCCTCCTTTCCCCAGCCCGACTCGCCCACGCCACCAAAGGGCGACTCGCTGGCGCTGAGCATGCCCGTGTTGATGCCGACCTGAGGCGCGCTGTCAGCCAGGCGCAGGCCAAAGAAGGAGGCGGACTCACCATGCCGGCGTGGATGGACTCGGCGACACGCAGCGCACGGCCAATGTCCTGCGTGTAGAGGTAGGCACCCAGACCGACACGCGTGTCGTTGGCCAGCTAGGCGAAGAGTCAGCCTTGCACCTGCAGCGTTTCACGCCCAGGACTCACCTTCTCCACCTCCTCCTCCTTCTCAAACACCTTGATCGCCGCGAGCGGCCCAAACGTCTCTTCCTCCCACACCTTCATGTTCTCCGTGAGGCCCACGACGATCGTGGGCGGGTAGAAGTTGCCCTTGGCAAAACGCTCCGGCGTGAGGGGCGAGGCGGGGTGCTGCCAGTACTGCGTCGCGCCCTTGGAGAGTGCGTCTTGCGTGTGCTCATCGACCTTCTTCAGCGCGGCTTGAGAAATCAGAGGGCCGATGGCCGAGTTGTGGTCCAGCCCGCCTGCGGGGGTTCAGCAATGTACGCCACGCAGACACCGCACGACTCACCACCGACGGCCATGCCCTCCATGCGCGTCTTGAGCTCCTTCAGGAACGCGTCGAGGATGCCCTTCTGCACCAGCAGGCGATTCGCGGCGACGCAGGTTTGTCCGCCGTTCCGCAGCTTCGACACGATGACGCCGTCGACGGCCTTCTTGACGTTCGCGTCGTCAAAGACAATCACAGGTGCATTGCCGCCGAGCTCGAGGCTGAGCTTCTTGAGCGTGTCGGCCGTGAGCTTGACGAGCAGCTTGCCGACGCGCGTACTGCCGGTGAACGAGACCTTCCTGACGCGGGGGTCCGTGCAGAGTGTCTCGCCGATGAGCGCCGTGTTCTCGAGCGCAGTGATGACGTTGACGACGCCCTTCGGCACGCCCGCACGCTTAGCCAGCACGCCAAAGACGGCCGTGGCGTACGGCGTCTCGCCGGCTGGCTTGACAACGACAGTACAGCCGGCTGCAATGGCAGCGGCGACCTTGCGGGCGGCCATTGCCTGCATACCACAGATGAGCCTCTGCTGGCTGCCTACAGCGAGTCGCCACTCACGAGCGGCAGGTTCCAGGGCGCCAGCGCAGCGACTACGCCGATGGGCTGCTTGATGGTCATGATGCGGCTCGCCGGGTTGGCTGCGGGGATGGTGGCGCCGTACGCGCGCTCTGCCTCGCCGCTGAACCACTCGAGAAAGGAGGCAGAGTAGGTGACTTCAGCAAGCGCCTCCTTCCCTGCGCCCATGCGTCAGCCCACGCTCCTCGCCGCTCGGCCATGTGACGCACAGGGCTTGCCATTTTCGGCGACGATCAGCCTAGCGATATCTTCCTGGTTCTCCAGCAGCAAGTCGTTGAGCTGGCGCAGCAATCTGGCGCGGCTGCGTGCCGTCGTCTTTTTGAAGTTTGCGAATGCCGCGTGGGCCGCCCCGACGGCCTTCTCTGCGTCCTCCTTGCCGCCCTCGACGGCCGTGCAGAGCAGCTCGCCGGTGCTGGGGTCTGCAGCACGCTCAGCGCGTTGGTGAGCTGCTAGGAGCCTCTATGACTCACCGTGCACCTCGAACGTCTTGCCCTCGGTGCCGTCGAGCCACTCGTCGTTGATGAAGAGCTTGTTCTGCAGCAGCGCCGCATCGCGCAGGCCGATGGACGCGGCAAAGTCCTGCGCGAGTGTGTTGGCAGGTGTCACCGCGCGATGCCGAGCATGCCTACCTTGAGCGAGGGTGCCATGGTGTTGTGCGAGGAGGTGAGAGAGATGGAAGAGCGGAGCAGCGAGGCGTGCGCCAAGCACGGCAGAAGCAGCGGATGCGCCGCGTTGCTCTCATGTGGAGGCCGCCGCGTGTGGGGAAGATGCCGCCGGCTCAGCGGCGCACGGGACACCATCTCGCCCTGCCGCTCGCTCGCTGCTCAACGTCAAAGGCGCTTGCTGTTCCTCGCAGAGCGGCGCACAGACCGCGCTGCAAGGACTCTCAGGACGCTACCCACACACATGCTCGTGGTCGCCGCCTTGAGCGCCGAGGGAGATCACGATGCAGCGCTGCCCTCGCACCGGCTGCTGCGCTCCGTTGGCGAGTCGGCTCAAGCCTCTCGCAGCCGTGCGCGGCTCGGCCGGATAACAAGTGCATTCCATCCGCGGCGAGGTCTCTCCTCCTCAAGCCTTCTGCAGCAGCTCCGCGGCGCGCTCGCCAATTGCGTACACCGTCGCCTGGATGTGCGCGCTGAGCTGGAGGGGAATGACACTGGCGTCTGCGACACGCAGGCCGCGCACGCCGTGCACGCGCAGCTCGTGGTCCACCACGCCGCCCTTGGCGCGCGGCAGCATCGACGCCGTGGCGAGGTGGTGGTACGTCGTCTGGAAGTGGTTGTGCACGTAGGCCTCGATCTCCTCCGCCGAGGAGTCCGGAGGAGGGTCTTGGCGTGCCACGACGCGCTTGCCGAGGTGCGACATGACCTGATGATGGTGTGAGCGAGAGAGTGGACGCACTACTGCCCTCGCTCGCGCTCACCTTGTCGGAGAAGGCCATGCCCTTCGTCATGATAGTAAGATCGGGACTGCTCGAGAAGTACTTGGGGTCGATGGCCGGCTTGGCGCGCGGATCCTTGCTCGTGATGTGAATGCTGCGGGCGAGGCGATGTCAGGGCCTGAAGTCCGCCGACCGCCGTGTCACTCACGTTCCACGCGACCACGGGTGCTGCAAAGCAGTGAGGATCGTGGCGTACGCCGTGTCGGGCTTCGGACCTCCTGCCGAGGCTGCCGAGGCAAAGTAGCCGGGGCAGTAGATCTGCGAGGCGGCGTGAGCGAGGCCTCGCTGAGCGCGGGCTGGCCACGCACCTGCTCCAGAGACGGCACGGAGTCATCGTCCAGACGAGCACGCTGCGCAGCGTGCACGTCCTTCATGCTGCGAGGGGAATCAGGAGCGATCTAATGTCGTGCAGGCAAAACAACGCACCCCTGCGTCCAGCCCGTCTGGTCCGTCGCGTCGATGTCCTTGAGCAGCTTCTGCTTTTCCTCGGCGCCGAGAAAGTCGTCGAGTCCCAGGTACGTGAATCCAGAGATGAACGACGAGAACATGCCGCGATTGTGCGACTCGCCCGTGCTGCGGCGCCGTGTCAGCAGCTGAAGCATCAGCGAAGAGGTCATCTACTCACTGCAGCTTCATCTGGATCTCGGCAAACGACGGGTTGCGCAGGTGGTCCCACGTCTCCTGGCCCTTGTCGCGGTCGCTCAGCTCGTAGCTCGACGCAATGTAGATGTGCTCCGAGAGATTGGTGCCGACGCCGGGCAGGTCGACGAGCTGGGTGATGCCCGCGGCGTCTGTGCCAGTGTTAGCGAGCAACAGTGTGTGAAGGATCAGGTCAACGCACCGAGCACGGCTTTGTCGCCGATGCCGGAGAGCTCGAGCAGCTGCGGGGTCTGGATCGCGCCCGCAGAGAGGACGACCTCCTTGCCGACGCTCACGACGTGCTCCTCGCCGGCCTTGCCCTCGTCGAGCTCAAACACCACGCCCGTGGCCTTCATCTCCCCTCCCTCCTTGTCGAGCTGCACGCGCGTTACGAGCACGCCCGTGAGCACCTTGAAGTTGGGAAGATCCTTGGCTGCCTCGTAGTAGGCCGTCGCATAGCTGCGCTTGCCGTTTGCCTCGTTGATCGTGGCGGCGCTCGTCCATGCACCCTTGTTGGCGCCGTTCTGCGAGCTCGCGTTGGAGTGCACGCCCTCAGCGGCCAGCGCGCGGTACCACGCTGATTGTGCGAGTCAGAGACGGGGATGGCCATGCAGATGCGGACCAAGACGCACCAGCCTGGCTCGGCGCGTACCACTGCGGGAATGACGTATGAATCGGCCCACTGCCCTTCTCCAGACCGGCGTGCGTGTGGTGCTCCTTGTGCTTCTCGGCCGCAGAGGGGTGCGGCGGCGCAGCAGTGACGGACTTGGCGTAGTACGGCAGGATGCTCTCCCAGTCCCAGCCAGGATTGCCGAGCGCCGCAATGTCCTCGCTGCGACAAGGAAGGTGAGCAAGCGCGGCGGCATGATGACGAGCAGTCGGCCACGCACAACTCGCGGCGGTGTCCGCGCTGGTGCACGAGGTAGCTAAGGGGGCATCAGCAGTCATCGAGCCTTGACGCAGCACGCAGCTTACTTGAGAGCACTGCTTCCGCCTACAAAGAGTGCGTCAGCGCATGGTGAAGCAATGTAGGCGATGCGTATCCTCACCAAGCACACGACCGCGAGGCCTGAAGCATGCAGAGGAGTCAGTACGGGTTCTGATGAGCGTCTCGACAAGCGGTGCTTCTGGCAGGCTTGCGAGCTCAGGTAGTCTCAACGAGCCCACCAGCTCACACGATCCCTAACAAACACTCCAGCAGCAGTGCACCCGCCCTTGCTCTCCCGTGCCATTCCCAGCGCGGACTCACCAGTCAACGACGCGTCCGCCCGCACTCTTCTGCGGCGTCGTGCTCAGGCACCAGTCATGCGTCTCCTTCTTGAAGGGCTGCGTGATGGCTGCGGGCGTGTTGATCTGCAGGCGCGATCAGCGCAATCGCGAGGCAGCAGCGATGCCGCTCACCAGGGGGCAGTCGGGGCGCCACTGGCCCGCCTCGAGCACGGCGACGGTGATGTCGGGGTTCTCCGAGAGGCGCGCTGCGACTGCCAGGCCGGCCGTGCCTCCTCCCTGCTGCGTGTCAGCCACCAGCACTGCACGCGCGCCACGCAGCACGCACCACGACGACGCTGCGCGAAGCCGGGCGTGAGCGGGAGAAGGCGAGCGCAAGGCGGGGCACTCTACTCACTAGTCGAAGCTCTTGCCTGCGACATCAGCGAGCGTGGCGTTGGTGGGGCGCGCGGGAGAGGCGTCGGTCATGGCTGCGCTGGTGGTGGTGCAGAGGCAAGAAGCAAGCCGTCGAGGCACGCAAGGGGCAGCGACATCGAGGGCGCGAATAAGCTCAGAGGGCGCAGCGGGCAGCGCGCTAGCGCCTGGGAAGAAACGGGCGCTGCCGCCATTCCCGCGGGCCCACTCGCCGCAGCAACTCGACTCAGAGCCGGTCTCGCCTCCCAGTTGCGGACCACTGCTTCGTCCTGCTCGTCTCACCACCTCGCCTGCCTTTACGTCAACGCCGCGCCGTCAGGCCGTGCGGGGAAGAGGCGTGGCTTGGGGCAAGGCGCGCTAGTGGAAATGGCGGCACGGAGTGCACGGGCCATGCGCGGCGCCGCGAGCTCTGAGAGCGCCTCGAGCTCGCAGCTGGCTGCGGCGGGAGCGAGGACAAGCGAGCATGGGCCCGGCCGAGTATCAAGCGGCGTCGTCGCTGTCGCGCTTCGTCGTGCTTCCATCACATCGCATCTGCCAGCAAAGAGAAGCAGAGAACCTTGCTCAACAGGGCGGGCAGCTGATTGGAAGTGAGGGCGGAAATGAGCGCAGCCCGCCGTGGCCGCGGCGTCTATCGAGGTTCCTGACACAAATTGAGGGCGCCGGCGACGCAGACGAACCTTTGTCTCAGCCGGGCCGGTCGTCAGTCTCGCCAGCGCCAGATCGCGTCTTCTGTCGACGAAACGAGCAGCTTCATCGAGGCACCAGGCACGCCCCTGAGCGCACTGAGGCACGCTGTGCCCTCCGAGCGCAAGACTGCGCCGCAACCTTGCGCACTGCGACAGGCGCCTCGGCGTCACCCGAAATCTCCTCGAGGATGTCACGAGCCCGAGATTCTCAGCGGTTGTCCTCTGCTGCGGTGCAGACCACTGAGCTGAACCTGTCCGCGCAATCCTGCTGGTGCGCTCGCGGCATTTTCGGCGCGGCGCACCATCCAGCTGCGGCTCGAGGGCGCCACGCGCCCGCCGCTCCTCCGTCCGCGCGACAGGCGCGCGCACCCCGCGATCCAGCAGTCGACGCTCCGCCACGCCAGTCAAGCCTCATGCGCTACCGCAGAAGTTCTCAACCTGCTCTCAGGCGCTGCCCGCTGCGGCGAGCAGGACGGCGGGATCTTGCGCAGCTGCGCCTGGCCACGCTGCCTGCCGCCAGGCGCGGCTCGCTGGCTCTTCCCACGTCGCATCCTGCGCGCAGTGGCACGGCATGCGTGGGCTTGGCCCACCACATGCCGCTGATTGGCATGCCTCGGGAGCGGGAGCCGCCGACAAGGCTAGCAGCATCGGCACGGTGCGGCGGAGTCGGCGATGTGCGGCAGCGTCGGGCCGAGCAGCTTGCACGTGTGCGTGGGCCGGCAGCCTCGGCATTCTACGCAAGGCCAGCCTGCATGGATTGCTTCTCCCCGCCTGCTCCCATACACATGCATGCTTGCTTACGGACGCCGAGCATCGGGGCCGGAGCGCAGCATGGGCAGGGATTGCGCGCGCACCGCTCCGGAGCGACACGCTGGCTGCGTGCTGGAGTGTGGCGCCTGCGCACTGCGACCCCTGCCGCCTTTCCCTCAGGGTCCGCCGCGAGCATGGTTGCTCGAAAGCCCTGCAGAACGCTCTGCGGACTGCTGCTGAGAGTCTGACAGGCGCAGCACCCAGCTTTGCAGACGGTCGAGCCTGTAAGCAAGCGCGCAGGGGCCCTCGCAGTGCAGCACGGGAGCCTAGCAGACGCTGCAGGATCGGCCGCGTGGCTTGCCGCATCTGCGCTTAGCGCGACACGGGAGTGCCTGCATCGGCACGCCCACGCGTCGTGTTCCTCTCTCGCCGGGGGGTGCGGCGCACGACCTTTGCCTCTTCGCCAGCACCCACGCACAAAGGGGCCGGGTAAGCGTGCACATCACCCTTCATGCTGCATGCTCGCTCCGACGTGCCCATCTGCGGCAGCGGCGGGGCACTTCGGCATCGGCGTCGGCGCCGAAGCAGGGGCCGCTGCGTCTGTTTGCGCCGCAGGACTGAGGCATCGCAGCAGCACGCCAGCGGTGTGTTCTCGTCAGGGCGGCCTGCGCCCTGAGCTACGGGCACCCCTGATACGAGTATAAGAGGTGGCGCTGCGCTCATCCCCGATCTGGCTGCCCATACGTCTCGCCTGTGGTACTCTGCACGCCATGCGCTACTCTCTCTTCCTCCTCTGCAGCCTCGCCTTCGTGCTGCTCTGCGGCAGTGAGGCTGCAGCGGCGCCAAGCAAGTCGGACCGAGGCGTCGCTCGCCACCGTCTCAACGGCTACTCGCTGAAAGCACAGAGGCGCCTCTGCGAAGCCGTGCTGCAGCACTACCCCAAGCCCAAGCGCGTCACGACGACGACCACGACCGTCACGCCCCTCGCCACCGCCACCAGCACCACCTCGTTTGCCGTCGCGACGGTGACGGTTGACGGTCCGACCTTCGACGATCCCGAGCGCCGTGGCACGTTCCAGCTGCCCGAGAACCTGCGCTGCTTCAAGCAGACGCTGCTGCGCGAGCTCTGCCTCGAGGTCTTCTACGGCAAGGTCAGCAGCACCTCGGTCGTCGTCGCCACCGCTCCGACGCGCACCTCGACGGTTGTGGTCACCGACTCGGTCACGGTCACGACGACGCAGCGTGTGCTGCCCACCGACTCGACGGCATACTGCGGCGACTCGAGCTGCTCGTGCACCGTCGTGCAGACGCCCAAGCGCGTCATCACCTGCAAGTACCGCTTCAAGGGTGCGCCGAGCAGCTTCAACGTTCCTTGCTCCGGCAAGCTGCAGGCGCGCCTCATCGGTGGCGGCCGCAATTCCAAGTCGCAGCCAAGCCTCGTCGAGTCGGAGGCGGTGCAGCGGCCAGGTGCGACAAGTGACGGAGGCGTCTTCAAGGTCGGCGAACAGTTCGAAGTCATTGTCGGAGGAGCAGGCGAGCAGGAGGACTACCCGTCCACGGTCAAGCCGCAAGGGGGCTATGGCGGCGGCAAGGGGGGCGCGGGCTTCTACGGCGATGCTGGCGGTGGCTCCTCGGATCTCCTGCTGCAGGGCGCCCGCCTCCTCGTCGCAGGCGGCTCGGGAGGTGCGTCAGAAAGCCGAGAGGCGTCGCTGCCGCCGGACGTGGACCACCAGTGCAGCGGAGTGGATGGATGCAACGCCAACTTCCTCTCCGGCGGCGGAGGTGGCGGTCTCCGTGGCGGCCAATCGGGCCGCTACACCGGCGCCGGCTATGGCGGCTCGTCGCTGTACAATGCCGGTGCGTCGTTCGCTTCGCCTGTCGGCGTGCCTCGCGCTGACAATGGCATCTTCAGGCGACCTCTACATCGCGCAGGTCAACCCCACAGACCCGGGCTTCGCCCCTGGCGTCACTCTGACGTACACCTGCAACGCCTAGACCTCGCCTCGTGCCAGACGTGCCCCTGCCTCTCCATGTACACAGTGACCGTCCTCGGGATACCAAGCTCTTGCTCCGTGTGTGGAGTGCACCGTGACGTCGCTGCTGCTTGACGTATCCCTGCCTGCAGGCGCGCTACGAGTGCATCACGTTTCGTCTTCTGGGCGACCGCGCTCCTCAGCACTGGACGCAGCTGGCCACTGATTGTCCACCAGAGCCTGCAGAGCAGAGATGCAGCCTAGACACGCCGAGCGGCTCGGCACGCGCGTGGATCGACGGCCGCCGTCTGACGTCCCGCACGCGCCTATCTCCTCTCAGGCACATGCAGCGTCTCAGTCTTCTCAGCCCGTATTCACCGCTGTGGCCCTATCATTGCTACGCCGCTCCACACATCGTGACGAGGTCCTTGAGCAATGGCTGCAGCTTCGGGTCTGTTCGCTCGCGCAGCAGCGTGCCACAGTGCTCGGCGGCGTCGAGCACCTGCAACATAGGACGCAGCTCGTCCTCCCACCGCGGCGAGTTGTGCAGCACGAGCAGCAAGGCGGCGAGTGTGCGATGCACTGCGAGGAGATGTGAGCGAGGGACCAGCGCAGCGGACGGCATGACCCACGTGTCTCGTCGCTCTCCTCTCGCTGGGCCGCCTCGAGCAGCGCCGGGGCAAGCTCGACGTCCCAGTCGTCTTCTGGCGCAGCGGCAGGCGCAGGTGCGTCGGGTAGCCGTATGAGAGGCAGGCGGTGGCTGACGCCGAGGCCTGCGTTGAAGCTGGCAGACGCAGCAGCCGAGCGCACGGCCGCGTCGGCGTGCAGCAGAGCCGTCGGCAGCTGGCGCACGTATTCTTGCAGCGTGGTGCAAAGCGGCGGGTGGACGAGCGCGTTGGTGAGCAGACGAGTGGCAGTGAGGACTGTCGGGCGCGACTCGGACTCGGCGGCGCGCTGCAGCAGGCTCGGCACGAGCTTGTCGTTCTGCGCGAGACTGGCCACGAAGGGCGGGTGCAGCAGCAGCAGCCGGGTGATGTCGAGCAACGGGAAGAGCTGGTCGGGGCTGAGGTGCTGCTGCAGCGTGTGCGCTGCCCGCTGGAAGGCCTGCGCAGAGGTCGTGCTCATCGCCGGCGCGCTCTGCAGGCCCTTGGCGTGCCGCTCGAGCCACGGTATTGTCTCCTTGACCACGACCTTGCGCGCGTCCTGCAGCGCCGCCTTGACGTTGAAGCTCGGCGCCGGGCACGCTGCGACGAAGCTGTCCAGCTTCTGCACGAGGGACGAGAAGGACGGCACCGCGGTGAACGTGATTGGGCTCTGCGGGAGCGCAGCGAGCGACGGAAGCGCCAAGTCGGCGTGCGGATGCCCTGCGCGAGTGTCAGCCGATGCTAGAGGGTGTGACCCAGCAGCCCCGCTCCCTCCTCGCACGGCCACTCACTAGTCCAGATCAGGCCCTGCAGCTCCGCAAATCGTTGCTGCAGCTCAGCCGCATCGCCGCCATCGCAGTCGGCGATCTGCTCGCCCGACAGGTGGAAGCTGACGCGGCCAGCTTGTGCGCCAGACAGCGATGAGGCGTCGCACGTAGCAAAGGCGACGCCCGAATGCGCCTGTGCAATGCGCTCCACCGCGTCGCTCACCGCTCCCGAGCTCGAGGCGAGCAGAGCGACGCATGGCTCCGACGCCAGCAGCTGCTGGACGGCTGCGCCAGAGCCGAGGCGCAGCGTCGACGTCGAGGCTGATGCGGGCGCCAGGGCGCTCTCGGCGACGTTCTGCACGAGTGCCGAGCCGAGAGACGAGGTTGAGGCGTGCGGAGTGGCGCCGCCGGCACCTGCAGGCCGGAACATGGCGTCGATCTGCGGCGCCATCATCTGGCCGAAGGGAGTGCTCAGGAAGTCGGCGGGTAGCGAGGACACATGTGCCGGCACGCCCTGGCCCGTCAGCCGCCTGCCCAGCACGTCCGAGAAGTTGTTGCAGTTGTGGCGAAGCAGGTGGTAGTCGCTGGCCTGGAAGCGCGGCGCCAGCTCGCGGACGAGCTGCGCCACGCCTTGTGCGTCCAGTGCGGTGCTGCCCAGTGGGTGGACCTCCATTGGCGCGCCGTGCTGCGGCGAGGTGAGTGTATATCACACATGTCTGCGCAGAGTACTCACATGCGTCTTGCCCGGCGACGCGGACTGGATCCCGGCGCCAAAGAACCACTCGACGCCGTGCACGACGACGGAGGTGTGGTAGATGGCGTCGAAGTGCGTGCCCGTCAGCTGGCGCGAGAGCATGCGCGCCATGCCGTTGCTGAGATCGTAGATGTACAGCTGCACGGGGTGCGACATGGCGAGGAGCACACTCGGTGCGAATGGCTGCGGCGGATGATGGTGGAGGCGAGGCAGGAGGCATCCCTCACGCCGCGAATGGCAAGATGCTCGCTGCGCACAGCCACGCCGCGCGCTGACGCGTCCTCCGATTTCCGTGCTGCGCCCTCGCCTCCCCCTTGCCTCCTCGCTGCGCATCCTGCAAGCGGTGCCTTCATGCTCACGCCGACCCGCGAGACAGCCAAGAGGATGGCCTCAAAATCCGGCGCTGAGCATCCACATCTGCCACAAAGGGCGACGACCAGGCAACGAGGGGTGAGTAGCTCGCCAACTGGCTTGATCGCGTCCGGCACATCGGGCTGTCGCACCCGCAGCCTAAGCTGACGCCGGTCCTCCTGCTTCCGCTGACAGAACGATCTCCAGGAAGCAAGGCCTGGAAACAGCTCCTACTCTTCAATCGCTGACCAGTCAGCAGCAGTATGCAGCGTCCCGCATCTGTGCCGCACCCATCATCGGGCTCGGCTGGCCGGCCCGTGCGCTTTCGCCCGATGATGGCATCAGATCGGGCCTTGCACGACGCGCGACTTTATCCGGCGCCCGTCTCGCTGGAGCAGATGCAATACGAGATCACATGCGACATTGCAAGGTGCGGCCCGGCCTGCTTAGGCGTTGAGCTTGGACGTCGCCTCGGCCTGCCCAATGAGCGCCTGCGGAGCGTCTCCGCGCCGCATGAAGATCTCCACGAGCTGCAGGCCCTCCTTGCCGAGCTTGCCGTCGAGCAGCGCGTTGAGCTCGTCCTTGGTGCGCACGGCATGGTACTGCGGCATCGTGACGTTCTTGACGTCCTTAGCGTGCGACTTGCGCTCCGCCTCCTCTGCACCTCCGGCCGACGACGGCGCCGAGGGAGCGTAAAGCGCCTTGAGTAGCGCCTCGTGGTCCCAGGGGCTAATGTTGTTGTACGATCGCTCCGGGCCCTGGATTTGCCGCTCTATCTACATAGGGAGAGGATTGTCAGCGCAGCCCGGCTCGCACACGACACGCAGATACCCACCTCGTAGCCATCGTTTCTCAAAGCCCACACCACCGGCGCAAGACCGTAGCGGATCATCGTGCTCAGTTCTTGCGCCGTCAATTGGAAGCTTCCATCGCCGGTGAAGCAGTGAACTCGACCGAGGCCCTCCTCGCTCGCCGCAAAGGCGACGCCCAGCGTTGCTGCGGTGGCGTAGCCGATCGATCCCCAGAGCACCTGGCTGTGGAAGCGCGTGAGGCCGCCGGGCAGTGTCGTGTCGAGCAGGCCGAAGCTGGATGTGCCCGTCTCGGCGATGATCTGATCGCCTTCCTCGAAGACGGAGCCGCTAGGAGAGGGTCAGCGGGGCTCCAGAGCAGCTCTAGGATCTACTCACATGCGCTGCCAGAGCCAAGCTTGACTGATCACATCGCCGTTAGGGCCCGCCGCCTCCCCCTCGGCCTCGCGCGACGGAAGCTGTGCGGCGATCAGTCGGAGCAGGGCAGTGCAGCGCGGAGACACGCACCTCGTTGCGCGGGTGCAGCTCGTTGGGCGTGCGGTCCTTCTTGCTCTCGGCCAGCAGGGCAGCGACCTTCGGCAAGAGCTCCTTCATGCCGATGCCGTCGAAGTGCTGGTCGAACACCTGCGTGCGGTCGGAATGGAACTCGATGGTGTCCGCCTGCCTCGTGAACTCGGTGAAGGAAGACGCCGTGTTAAAGTCGGAGCGCAGCGCGCCGATGAAGAGGTACAGGTCGGCGCCCTCCACCTTCTTGTGCACTGTGCGCGTGTCAGCGACGGCGAGCAGCGACGCGCGCGTCACTCACGCTTCTCGTGTCCCTTGCCGTTCGGCCCGAGGTAGATCTGCCGAGGGAGTGAGCAGGCATGCAGCCAGACCATGCGGCGCACTCACGCCTGCGAAGCTCGGGTGGTCCTCGGGCAGCGCCGACTTGCCCATCGGCGTGGCGACAAAGGAGAGCCCGCTGTCGTCGACCAGCTGCAGCGCCTCCCTGACGGCGCCATGACGGATCGTGCACGCGTCGATCACCACTATTGGCTCCTTGACCGCCGCAACGGCCTTTGAGATGGCCTCGAGGCACGCCTGCTCCCTGGCCGCGTCGTTGCTGGCGTGCGCAAGCGCAAGGGGCCGCTCGAGAAGCGCCTTGTCCACTGGGACGTGCAAGAGATCGGTGGGCAGGCCGAGGTATCCTGGACGGGCCTGCGAACGTGTCAGCGAGGCGCAAGAGTTGCGCCACGCAGCGCTCACCTCGCCCACGCACGTGCTCAGCACGCGGTCCACCTCGTCGGCCAGCTTCTGCGGGTCGCCCTTGTGCCTGGCAAGTAGCGCCGTGGCACAGCTGACGTGGCTGCTCATCTCCGCGAAGGTGTCGAACTAGGAAGGGTGAGCGCAGGATTCGCGGGTTCAGCCGCTATGCTCACGTTGCCGTCACCCAGACTGTCAAGGGTCAGCAGAGCACAGTGACGCTACAAAAGGGCACTCACGTGTGGTGCAGGATGGCGTGCTTCTCCTGCGACGCCACCCCCGGCATGCCGACGATGTGCAGCACGGGCAGGCGCTCGGAGTAGGAGCCGGCTGCGCGAAACGTCAGTCAGGGCAGACGCCAGGACTCCGCTAGCTCTCACCGATGCCGTTCAGGGCGCTGAGCTCCCCCACGCCGAACGTCGTGCAGAGGACCGCCAGCCTCGCGCCCTCATGCCCGTGTGCACTTGTGTCCTGCTGCAGTACGCGCGCGTAGCCGTCTGCGGCGTAGCTGGCGTTGAGCTCGTTGCAATTGCCGACGAGACGCAGGCCCGAGTCGTCGCAGATGTCCAGGAAGCCCATGCTGAAGTCTCCGGGCACCTGGAACATCGTCTGCGCATGGTGTGAGCGTCGAAGAGCGTGAGTTGCTGCACGGTGCTCACCTTGACGCCCAGTTGCTGCACTGCCGCCGAGCAGGGTGCGTGAGCGCGTCGTGCCACTGCGGGCCGCGCTGCACCACTCACGCCGCGCGATCAGGTACTCGGCGAGGGGCAGCGTGTCGGCGGCCATGGTTGCGCTGCTTGATGGTGGTGGTCGGGAAGATGCCGCGGCAGGGACCTGCGAACGTCGAAGCCACCGGCAGCACTGCCGCGGCTTGTCAAGCCGGCGGCTGCGTCACGACCATGTGGAGGCGCCGCATCGGGCCCATCACGTGCAGTCCGCCGCTTGCTCCTCCAAACCCGACGATGAGCAGGCTCTCCGGCATACTCGAGGTGGTGAGGAGCGAGAAGAAGAGCAGCTTCGGAGATCTCTGCGATGATTTTGCCCAGTGAAGGTAGTCCACGCCGAAAGCTTTGCGCTTCAGCGTCAAAAAGGCGAGCGCTGGGTAGTCAATGTGTCCCGCCTCGTTTGTCCCGCTTCAACTCGACCTGCAAGGCCACTCTGAAGCCTCAGCAGCCGCACGGCCGTGGTTCTTGATTTTTGAGCAGCATCTGAGCCCTGCCTGCGCCCTAGGCGGCGTGCCGTTGCGGGCCGCTCGGAAGAAGAAGCAGCGCGCAGGGTGCGACGCGCGCCAGGAGCGCTCAGGAGCCGCGCCGTGTGCGTGCCGGCGGCAGCGCAGGAAAGCGCCCCTGAGCGTCAACACGCTGCTGCCGTGCCTGGACGTGGGAGCGAGCAGCGGGCAGGCCGCCGCCGCCATCTTGCTCTCCCACCACCACCGCCGTCCGCCATCCACCGCGCACCTCCCATACCCCTCACGCCCTTGACGACCCCTTACGACCTCACGACCTGCACCCATCCACGCTCCACTGGCGACAACCATCCACCGCGCCGCACGTCACACTCGCTGCACCCACGCCATGCCCGCCGCGCCCAGCCCGTCGCCGCCGCCGCCCAGCGTCGCCGGCTTCTCGCCCGGCGGCGCCGTGCCGCACGGCTACTCCTACCTCACGCGCTCCCACTCGCTCCTCACGCCCTCGCGCCGTGCCGCGCCGCGCTTCACGCCCGACGACGGCGAGCGTGCGTCGCCGCGGCACTCGCACGCCGCGCGCAGCAGCAGCGGCAGTGCGGGCGACGAGGCCGCTGCCCTGCCGCGCAGCGAGTCGCTGCACGCCAGTGCCGCCCGCCCGGCGCTGCGCCTCGCCGATCCGGCGCCGGCGTCGCCGCAGCCGGCCCTCGCGCGCTCCAACTCGCAGCCGCTGCACTCGCCCGCGAATGCGCGTGCGCAGTGGTCGCGCCGCGAGCGCGGCGACGGCGAGGACAAGGCGCCGGCCGCGACGAGCCAGCAGCAGCTGCTGGCCGCCGTCGAGGCACTTCCTGTGAGTGCAGCAGCAAAGAGTCACGCACTGCACGAGCTGACGCTCCTGCAGGACAACCCCAAGCTGTGGCTGCCGTCGCAGGTCGCCCTCTACCTGGCCCACGCGCTGGCGCTGCTGCCGGCGCCGATCATCGCCGACCTCTCGGCCTTTGTGCGCGGCGCGTCGATCTCGGGGCGCGCCTTTCTGCGCCTGCAGGAGAGCGACCTGGCCGAGCGCGGCATGAACCAGCGCTGGCGGCGCCTGATCATCGCCGCGGCGCGCCGCCTGCGCCGCGACTGCCTGCGCAGCCGCATCTGGGCCGACGGCGACTGCGAGTGGCCGCGCACCGAGGATGCGGCGGAGAAGCCGGAGCAGGGCGAGCAGCCGGGCGCGGGCACCCAGCGGGCCGTGAGTAGTGCGCAGCGTGGCCTTTTCTGCCGTCTGCTGACACTGGCGCAGCTCAAGCAGCAGACGCTGAAGCGCATGCGCGACTGCGCCGCCGTGCGCGAGATGATTCAGTCTTTCGAGTCGCCCACGCTCGGCGAGCTCGACGAGGAGGGCTTCGTGGCGCTGCCAGGCCGCCTGCGCAGCTCCTCGTCGATCTCGTCGCTGCGCTCGGACGCCTCGTCGCCGCGGCGCTCGGCGTCATCGGAGCTCGCGGGCACCGACGGCCTTGTGCGCCAGCGCCAGGAGAGCTTCGACTCGCCGCGCGACGCCAGCGACGCGCAGGCGCCGCCTGCCAAGCCGTGGCTTGCGCAGCTCACGCACGAGGAGCTGCAGGCCGCGGGCGAGGACGAGATCGGCGATGAGCGCGACGAGCGCATTGCTGGCCTCGCCGCAGTCGAGCTCGACCTCGTGCACGAGCGCGATCAGAGCTCCTCGACGCAGGGGGACGAGCACGATGACGCTGCCGAGCTACTCACGCACATACGCGATCTGAGCTCCTCGACGCAGGGCTCGTCGCGCAGCTCCACCGGCAGCTTCGACGAGCCGCAGACGCCGCCACCAATCGACACCGATCTGCCGCAGACGCAGGTTGCGTCGACGGAGCCGTCGCCGGCGTTCCAGGAGGAGCACGCCGACGTCGAGCGCTCGGCTGCATTCCGCCCGCGCCTCGCCGCCGGCGCCAAGACGAATCTGTACCGCGCGTCGACGTACGACGCCGAGGAGCTCGAGGCGCTGGGCATCTCGCTCAGCGAGGAGGACGAGTCGCTCGGGCGCTTCGACACGGCGCGGCGCATCCACTCGCCGGAGCCCGAGGCTGCAGACGACAGCGTGCTCGACGATGCGCTTCCGGTCCTCAACGCGCGCACGGCGGACGGCACGCTCGGCCGCTCGTCGATGCGCCAGCGCAAGCCCAAGGCCGGCGGGCTGCTCGACCTCTTCAGCACCGTGGCTCCGGTCGCGGTCGAGGATGAGGCAAGACTCGTCGAGCCGCAGGCTGCCTCCGTCGATGTTGCGCCGACCGACGCCGCGCTCGTCGCCGACGCTGCACCCGCTGCTGCAAGCGACTCGACTTCCGCCACCGACGCCGCTTTTGTGTATGAGATCGAATCTGCCGCCGATGCAGCGCCTGGCATCGACGCTGCATCTACGATCGACGCGATCTCCGCCACTGACGCGACAACCGTAACTGAAGCTGCCGATTCCCCGTCTGTACCCGACGCTGAGCCTGCGGGCGTTGCGACGACCGCGCACGACGCCTCAGCCGCCGGCGCGTCTGCCCCGGTTAACGCTTCCGCTTCGAGCGAGGCTCCCGCCATGACGGACGCGCCTGCCACTGGTGACGCGCCTGCCAAGGATGCGCCCGCCACCCTCCTCGTGCCGATCACGACGCTCGCGCCCGGCCCCGACGGCAAGGGCTCGGTGCGCCAGCGCTCGATGGTCATGGTCGACCGGCGGCGTTTTGAGTCGCTGGCGCGCCGTGCGCTGCTCGTCGACGACATGGCGCACCAGCTGAGCGTGCTGGAGCGCCTCTCGAGCGTCGATGCGCAGGCGCCGAGCGCCGAGCTGCGCGACAGCCGCCGCGAGCGCACGCGCAGCGCCCTCGACGACGTCTTTGCGCAGCCGAAGGACGAGTCGGCGGCCGATGCCGACGCGCAGGTCGAGGCACTGCTGGAGGAGGATGCGCGCAGCGGCAAGGGCTGGCTGCGCAGCCTGCTGGACGTCGGCGCGATTCCAAGCTACGGTGAGTGCCGCCATACATGTACCCCGTGCAGAGCTGACGTGCGGCCTGCAGCGATCGGACTCGGCGCGGGCGTCGGCTTCGTCGTCATCACGGAGGTGCTGGGACGTGCGGCGCGCCGTCGCTGAGGACCTGTTGAGCTCGGGCCGGCGTAATGAACAAGCCAGCCCTCGAGCGTGTACTGTATCCTTTCTCATGACGAACAGCGATTCATCGGCGCGCATACGAGGCGTGAGGGGCTCAACTCTGCTGCGTTGATGTGTGAGCGTGTGCGGCCCTTTTCTGCGCCACTGCTTGTCTGTGACGCGGCGTCCTGTGCGAGTCGAGGGCGCGCGAGTGAGCCAGTCGCCTGCCAGCGCCTCGACCGCCCCTGCCGCCTCGCCGCGATCACGGGACCGCAGCCACGGCGCAAGGGATATGACGGGCGCGTGCGTCAGACAGCATGCTCGCCGCTCGCCGCGCGAAATCGCAGGCAGAACACAGAGTCGCAGCAAGGTGAGGACAGAGCGTGGCATTGCTAGCACAGAGACATGATCGTCGGGGACATGTGCTGGAGCGGTGCGGTAGGGCGGAGCGTGACGGCGGAGATGCACGGCGGAGGGACACGACGTGTTTGGGTACGAGGAGGGGCGGTGCTGTGGTGTGTGGGTGTCGCGACAGTTGATGACATGCTGGAAGCGACGCTGTAGCTTGCGAACAGCGAGCGGACCGTTCACTGCGTGCGGCAGGCGTGGTCAGCGCTGCGAGCAGGCAGCGGCAGGGCCTGACGAGCGCTCACCTCAGGTGCGGACGGGAATTGTCTGCTTCTTCGTGCACTTGCCGTCCTTGCACTCCTCGTGGCGGGGGCAGGCAGGGTGACAGACTGTCGGCGAGGGGTCAGTAAGAGGCACGAGAGGACTTGCGGGGCGCTCACCCTTCGGCTGCGGGGTGGGCTCATCTTTCTTGATGCACTTGCCCTTCTTGCACTCGTATCCATGCTGCTTGCATTCGGGCCAGCACTCTGTGACGTGGCGTCAGTGCGTGTGACGCTCGACGAGACGCGACACGAGTGACGGCCGGCAAGGCGCGAGACAGCGAACGTCTGACAACTCACTGAGCGGCTCGGGCTTGGGCGTGGGCTCGCAGCGGCCCTTCTTGCACGAGTATCCGTGCTTACACTCCGGGTGGCACTCTGAACGAGGCGTCAGCACTGAGGCGAGGCGACAGTGTCCGGGGGCGACTCACTCTGCGGCACGGGCTCGGGCTTCTTGACGCAGCGGCCGTCCTTGCACTCGAAGCCATGCTTGCACTCCGGGTGGCACTCTGAACGAGGCGTCAGCACTGAGGCGAGGCGACAGTGTCCGGGGGCGACTCACTCTGCGGCACGGGCTCGGGCTTCTTGACGCAGCGGCCGTCCTTGCACTCGAAGCCATGCTTGCACTCCGGGTGGCACTCTGCGGCGCGTGTCAGCGATGTTTCCGTGCCACCCGCTGCGGTACTCTCGCCTCCATGCCACCCTCGGCGGCACTCACTCTTGGGCTCGGGTGCGTGCTTGCGCACACACTTGCCGTCGCGGCACTCCTCGGAATGCTTGCATGCGGGCCAGCACTCTGTGTGCCGCGTCAGCAGAGGAGCCAGAGCACGGCCGCGCCACTCACTCTTGGGCTGGTGCACGGGCGGCGTGTACTTCTTGATGCAGTGGCCGTCGCGGCACTCCTGCGTCTTGCCACACTTGGGGTGGCACGCTGCGCGAAGGGTCAGTGGCAGCGTGGCGCGCGGCACCGGCAGCGACTCACGCTTGGGGCCCGGGTGCGGCTTCTTGACGCACGTCGCCGGCTTGCAAGTCTCATCCCACGAGCACTTGGCGGCAAAGCAGCCTAGGCAAGGGTCAGCACGGACAACAGAGGCGCTGTGCGGAGTGCGGCTCACCGTCCAGAGTCCGGCGCTCGAGGGCCGGCGTGTCGGTGCCGGGCGCGGCGACGACTGCGCTGACGCAGAGCAGCGCGACGGCGAGAAGCAGGCGGAGAAGCGAGAGCTGCATGTTGAGAGAGAGTGAGGTGTGGAGTGCGGTGGGAGTGGTGGATGGTGATGGGTGAACAGCGGCGAGGGCGCTGGTCTTATAGGCGTGAGCGGTCGTGTCGGGGGCTACCATGAGAGACGCGCAGACGAGCGCACTGCTGCTGCGGGTGTGCCATGCGCCGGCCACAGGGCTGCCGTTCATCGCGCTCATGTGGGGTCCAGCGAGGGTGCGCTGCGGGCGGCACGGAGCAGCGGCGCCGAGCGCGGGCCTTGCGCAGCGCAGTGTCCTTTGTGCGCACCCCAACTCCCTAGCTGAGCCGAGATGAGGCCCGATGCAGTGCTGAGCGGGGAGCACTGCCGCTGGGTGCGAAGGAGAGCGTGTGGGGCCGAGCGCTGCGACGCACATGCGCCGGGCCCGCTCGCAGCGCTGCGGCTGCTGCTGCGCGCGCTCGCTGCTGACCCTGCGGCTTCGGCGATGCCTGCTGCTGCAGAGCGCGACCCTCTTGCCGGCCCATGGATGCAGCTGTGTGCCGTAGCACTGCACTGGAGCGGAGGTGCGCCGGCGGTGGGGCGGCGGCGGAGACACGCGGTCATGTCGCTGGCCGGCCCGTGCGCGGCCGTCGTACGCGTGGGAGCAGCACCCGGGCTTCCGGGTGGCCGGTGTGCAGGACAGCAAGCGCCGCCGCCGCACTGGCACCGCACCAGAGCGGCACCCCAGCACCAGAGCGGCAGAGCAGCAGAGCGGCAGGATCCGCCGCTCCGGCACGGGCGCCAGATACAGGCACTCGCTTGGCCAGGCCGCCGGGCACAGCGCATTGCCGAGCCGCGGGCCCGTCCTGCGTCGCCGCTCTGCAGCGCGGCGCAGACGGCGGCCCGCCACCGCCGCCGCTCTCTCCTCGGCGCGCAGGGCCTGGTGCGGAGCCTGCTGCTGTGCGAGGCCCGGCTGCAAACTGCCCTGTGCCTGAGCCGCAGCATTCAGCGGCGTCGATGCTGCTCCGCTGGGGCGCGCCACGCCGCGCACATGTGCCCGATGCGTGGCCTTGCGGCGATCTCGGGCCGGTGGCGCACCCGGGCCGCACCTCCCCGCCCCGTACTTGCGGCGCAGCGATCTTCCCGCGTGCATCTGTGCCGCATCGCAGGTGCCCGTGCCGCATGAAAGCCGGATGAACGGGAGGTGTGCCGGCGTCTATAGTGGGGCATGGTGCGTGCGAGCTTGCCCCACGCTGCAGGGCGCCCCACTCTGCGGCCGCCGTGGACCAGCAGATCCAGCTCCGCCGCACTTGCCATTGCCCTACGCGGAGGCGATGGTGGAGCGCCGTGAGCATCCTGCTGTGCGGCTGCTTGCGTTTGGCCGCGGCGCTATGCTGAATTCGAGGGCGAGCTGCCTCCTTCAGCGCTGCGTGCCGCGGCGGCCGGGTACGAGGAGCTCAGACGGCTCTCTTCCCGGCACTGCGTCTGCCGACGGCCAAGCCGACTGGCCAAGGCGGCAGCGCTCGACATCGGCGGAAGTAGCATGCAGCGGCAAATGCGCCAGGCGGATGCTCTTGCTGCTGTCCTGCGTCGTCGCTCGCGCTCAGAGCCGGGCTTTCAGCGCAGCAGGAGCTTGCACACGTGCGCCTCCACGCCATTGTGGAGCGAAGGCAACGCTTGCACCCTGACCAAGAAGATCACCGGACAGCCGGGACGCAAAGCCGCGCAGGCGGGCGAGCACGACCGCCCCGCCGTGCTGGCGGGCTCTGCGCTAGGCGTCGGTCGCTCCATGCCGGTGCGTTGCCGCCGCGGCCGCAGCGTACAAGACTACAGCGCACACCCTTGCGATATGCTAGCACGCTTACTGTGATGCATGATGCGAAGCGAGCCTTGGCGCATGAATTGGGGGATTGTCAACGGCGGAAAGTCGGGCCTCGCGCGCCGGGGAGAGAGCATGAACGGCGGCGTCCACCCCACTCGCGTATCTAGCCGGCCTTTTGCCTCGCCCGTGCTGCATCACCTTGCCGCTTCGTGCGCCACAGTAGCGCTGTTGTGCGCAGCTTGAGCCGAGCCAGCGCGCTTGCAACGGCGCGGTGGTCATGCCGCGTCCATTTTGCCTGAGAGCGGTCTGGAGACGTGGCGCCGCCGCGCGTCTGCGCCATCGTCTTTGCTCTGACGCCGGGCTAGATCTCCTTCATTTCATCAATGCGGGCCGCTCGATCTCCACGCTTTTCCCGTGCTCTGCGCATCCTGCGCTTTGCTAGCGCCAGCACGCAGGGCCTCGGCTGACGTCGACGCTCTGCGGCCTTGCCGATCTGGCTGTTTGGCTCGGCGCGACTGCGATCTGGCTCTCTCTAGTCGTATCACCGCTTCACGTCAGCAAGCAGTTCAAGGGCGGTCCCGCTGATGCGCCGTCGGGGACCTCAACGTCCTTCCGCCGGCGGTGCGGCGCCGTTCGGCTTGCACAGCTGTGCATCGGACGTAGGAAGCGGCGCACAGCCGCGGAGGAGACCCCCCTACGCGCCTCTGTGGATCACAGTCGCACTCACTGCGTCTGTCACCTGTCACGGCGCTCTCTGAGAGCGCATCAGCCACAGTGTGAGGCGGAAGACCGCTACGTCGTCCGTCATTGCCATTTGGGCACCAAGAGATCCTGTCCGCGCCGTGTGCCGCCGCGCCCCACTGCCACAGGACTTAGCGTTGCGGGCAACGGCTGTGCTTGGTCATCGACACAGCTGCGCAGCACCCTCACTGGTCGCGCTGCGGTCAGGCCGTAGCTGACATTCAGGCAGCCATGGAGGCCGCTATCCTCCAGGACACTCACAGCGCCGCGTGCAACAGCGCGGGCGCTTGCTCACATTTGCGCTTGCGGTCACTGAGACGCTGCCGCAGACGAAGCGTCGAAATATGCGCGGGCCGTTCAACGGAGGAGTCTGTCGTCTGGCCACCCGTCGCTCGAGTGTGGGCGCACGATGTTCGAGCCAGTGCAATGCGCCATCTCGGCCGCTCTCGCGAGCGCAGGCTGTGTGGCCCAGCCTTTGTTGACTCGCAGCGACAGAAGCTCACGGGCCGCAGAAGGCGCAGCTCAAAGGACAGCAGCGGCGCGCCAAGCAGCAGGATGGCGAACCTCTTCATTGCAGAAGAAGTGTAGCCCTGGGCCCGCACTTACCGTCATGGCCTGCGCCGCCACACGCAAGCATCGGCGACAGGCGGCTCGCAAGCTCAGCCTTCGATCCGATCGACATGCCACAGCGGTTTGCTCGACCCAGGCTGCAACAAGACAGAAGGAGTGGCGCGCGGCAACGGCGGCGCACAAAGAGGCAACAGCGGCGGCGGCGGAACCGCATGGAGCAGAGGGACTCACTGCGGTCCTCGCTTCTCGCTGGACCCGCTCCGGATTGCCCTTGCTCCTACTTGTCCTCGCGCATCAACGGACGGCTTGGCACGTGCCGCCGCAAGGATGGCGCACCGCAGCTGGGCCTAAGCTTTGAGCGGCCATCTACGAGACGGACGCGCGTGCGCAGGGGCTGCATGCGGCTCTACGAGCTGTTCCGCCGGACTCCCGGCTGCAACGCCAAGGGCAACACGGCATCCTCATTCACCGAACTTGCACCGCCGCACTGCTGCTCTCCGGCCGCTCAATGAGAGCAGATCGACGGCTCGCAGCCCGTGCGCTGCGCGCGATGACCTGCAGCGCCCGGCGTAGACTCAGGGCGCAAAGCGCCGCAGGACGCATCGACAAGCGACAGCACAGCGGCAGACAGAAAAATCCGCGCCGCAAATCGACTCGCTCAAAGGGCAGCGTGGGCGACGGCAAGCCGGCTTGCGCATCCTTTTGTCAAGCGCAGCAGCGCACGCACGCTGCATTGTGTAAGAACAGCGGCAGCGAGCGTGTGTGCAACGCAAGAGCGGCAGCGGCTCGCCCGATGTGCACACGGCAGAGGGTCGTACCAGTCCGCGCCGCCAGCCTGTGTGCGTGCCCTCTGTCTGCTCTGCACCACGCCAACAACGCAGCGCGCGAGAAACGTGACCCACGGCGCAAGGACAACAAGCAGCGCCAGATTGTGCTGCACAGGCCGAGAGCTGGCTGCTGCGAGCCGGGCAATGCGCCTTGCTGCAGCCGAGCAGTCTTCTCTGCCCAGCAGTCTGCACCTGGCGATCTGCTCCACCGCAGGCAACATCAGAAGGGCCGCCTGGCGGCTCGCACCTCCTGCGCCGCGGCCGCACGTAATCTCCACGACCAGCGACGCAAAGCTCTCTTGCACCCGCACTCACCTGGAATCCTGGCCCATCAGAAAGCTCCGACACCGGCAAGGCCCCGTTGCCATCCTCTCTCTGAACGTAAAGACTTGCGTAGCGGAGGCGCAAAGCAGCGACGGCCGGGCAGCACGAGGCGGCGCGGAGCCAGAAGATGCGGCGCAAGAAGCGTCCGCAGCGGGGAGAAGATGCGGGCTTGCTCAGAGCGCCGACGTCGACTTGGGTGCAGCGTCGAGCCTGGCGAACGCGCGAGGGCTGGCAGGGCGGCGATACCTCGCGCAGTGCTGAGCGCCGGCGTGGCCGAGCAGGAGAAGCGAGGAGCGAGAGCCGCAATGCCGCCAGAGCGGGAGCGGCGCGAGAGGCGAGCGTGGCCAGAGAAGCGCCAGCTTTGGCGGTGGAGAAGAGGAAGCAAGGCGCGGGCCGGGCGTGACGCTGAAGACTGCAGTGTCGAGGCGGAGCGTGGCAAAGCGTGAAGGCCAAGCCCCAAGGCGAAGCGTGAAGGTTGGCGTGCGGCGGATCGGCGGCGGTGGTGCAGAAGAGGCGTTGAACGACGGCATCAGAGGCAGAGCGTCAAGGCGAGTGTGAAGGCACAGCACAAGGGCGAAGCGTTGCCGTCGTTGCTGCCGCGCAGGACGGCGTGTTGGCGGCAAAGCGCTGCAGCGGATTGGAGGGCGAAGCGTGGAGGCAGAGTGAAGGCGTGAGGGCAGAGCGCCAGCAGGGGAGCGTGAGGAGTCGAGACTGGCGCCGCAGCTGTGTCGAGAAGATTGGCGCGGCGTGAGCGCGTGAGCGTGAAGCGCAAAGGCACAGCACCAGCAGCAAAGCGAGATGCACGGGAGCAAGGAGGGCGGAGCATGGCTTGCGCGGTCGTGGAGAAGATCGGCGCCGCAGCACAGCAGGATCGGCCAAGCGTGACAGCGAGGCGGAAGGGCAAAGTGCCGGCATCATAGGAAGAGCAAGACGCGAGGATAAAGCGTGAGGGCAGAGCGTGACCCGCCGCCGCAGAGGATTGGCGCGGCGGGTGGAGGACGAGGAGGAGGAGGAGGAGATGCGGGATCGGCGCCGCAGGATCAGCGGGCTGGGGGAGCATGACAGCGAAGCGGAAGGGCAAAGCGCCAGCGTCAGAGGCAGATGCGCAAGAACATGGCTCGCCGCTGCGGCGGGTGGTGGTGGCGGAGGCAATGCATTGACGCGGGCATCGGCGCAGGGGGGGGGGGGGGGGGAGGCGTGGCAGCGAGGCAGAAGGGCAAGCGCCAGCATCAGAGGCCAGGCAAGAAGCGCCAGAGCAAGGCGTGAGGCCGGCGCACCGCGGAGGTGGTGGTGAAGATCGGCGCTGCAGAATCGGCGCAGGGAGATGGCCAAGCGCGAGGCGGAGCGTGATGGAGAGGGGAGCAAGGCAAAGAATCGGCGCGGTTGGAGACCGCTGCAGGAGTGGCGCGGGGAAGATCGGCGCGGGGAAGACTGGCGCGTCGGAAGATCTGCGTGCCGGCAGAGCGTGCGGAGCGGCGCAGGCAATGGGAACCAGGATGGTTGAGGAGAAGATTGCCGCAGGATCGGCCTGGGCGCAGGGAAGGAAGATCGGCGCCGCGCGCATCGGGATCTGCAGCGTGCGGGCGAAGCGTGCAGACCGGCGGGCGCGATGGTGGTGGAGAAGAGGCGCCACAGCGCTGGAGATTGGCGCGTCGGAGAAGCTGCGTGTTGCAGGAGCAGAGCGGGCAGGCAGAGCGTGCGGAGCGGCGCGGGGACGGGGGATGGTGGTGGAGGGTTAGAAGGGGTTCCCCGGCAGGGGTTGGAAGTTTTTTTCATGTCAAAATGTAGCCAGTATCCCAATGCACATGTTCCTTGAAAAGAAGTGCAGAAGGTTGGATATTTACGGTACTTCACTTAGACACAAGTGCAAAAAGTACCTGAATTTACTAAGTAGCGCCCCTTCAGAGGTAACCCTTTGGGACTTTTATTGCACCAGCAGGTGGATCAGAGTCAGAAAGGACTCCAGAGAAGATTTGGGAGTCATACGTTTCCCGGATGGTGCTCGATGTCATCTGCAAGACCGTGGGAACAAAACTTGCACGGATGATGACAAGCTCAATAGGCAAGATGGCAGGCATATGAAGCTACCTACACGCTCTCCTGGACCAGGGCTATGCACCAGTAGCAGCCTCATACCACCTGCTCATCATCTGAGATAGTTGGCAAAACAGACCAAAATGGCCAAGCTGTCAAGGCCCCCCCCTTGGGATTTTTGATCAGAAGTGAGGCGCACTGTGGATGACTTCCAGATACTCTGCAGCTGCTCTGGCACGCTGCAGGCAGCATCAGAGGGCTGCTGGGATGCTACAGTCTGCGTCTGGGTCTGTCAAAGTCATCACAGGCTGCTCATCATCACCAACCCTGCCTGTGCGCATCCCCCAGCTAGGGTCAGGGTCAGAGTCAGCCCTAGGCCTGCGCATCCCCCACCTAGGGTCAGGGTCAGGGTCAACCCTAGGGGTGCAGATCCCCCAGCTAGAGTCAGGGTTTGGGTCAACCCTAGGCCTGCACTTTCCCCAGCTAGAGTCAGGGTCAGGGTTGTCTGCATGCTGCTTGAGGGCATCAAGGGCAAGACTATGACTGCTCTGCAGAGCCAGCAGCTACAGCTGCCTGAGGGCAGCAAGACTAGCTCAAAAGAGGCAGCAGGAGCAGGCAGACAGGCAAGCTGCCAGCCAGGGGCCAGCTTCATGCGCTGTATTGGGTGTCATTCCTCACCTGCACGTCCAATACTCAAATCAGCCAGGCCAATCTTTCTGTCAACTGTAAAGCTACTACTGGCACTCTATTAGATGCTAACAGCAGCCTGGAGAGCCAAACAGGAAGCTGGCAGGAGGACTTCAAAAACTGGTAATGTGAAGTGCGCTTGTCAAGAGCCTCTTGTCCTGTTCTGTCCTACTTGTGCACCTTCTACACCACCAAGAGCACCCTCAGGCAGCAGCTATTGTCCACCAGCACAGCTGACAGAGCTGCTACAAACTGCCCAAGTCCCTGCACAGCAAAGGCTACAGGCAGAGATGGTGTGATAAAGTCTTCCAAAACAGAAGCAGATATCAGCCCAGTGGTGGGCTAGCGGTCAAAAGGGCTGCAGAAACTTATTGGCGGGACTACCCACCCCAAAAATGAGAGTCTGTGGTTCAATTCCCTCGCTGGTCAGCTATTTGTGGCGAAAAGTTGAGCCTTGAGGCTGGAGAGAGGACTGGATTAGTGGATGGGAACTGCCCTTCCTGAAGCTAAACCAAAACAAAGACCAGCATACAGGTTTGCCACCAATTGGAGGTGCTGTATTACAGGGAGGGCTTGTTCCCCGTATGCAGTGCTGAAGATTGGTGACACTGGTGAAAGGAACTGAGGCCCAACCAGGCCAAGGGTCCGAGAACTAAGTGGGGGCTAGCACAGCTCAGATGACCCTGGTCAGGACATGTGAGTGGGTAACTAGCTTTTGCTGTAGACTAAGACAAAGCTCTAACTTTGCTTCTCAGCCCAGTTTGTCAGCAGAAAGATGGAAGAGCTCTGTGGAATGTTGGTGGAATGTCCAGGTGAAGAAAGAAGGAGGCCAAAAAGGCATAATGGGAGGGGGTGTGTGGGTCATCAGGATCCCCCCCCACCCTGCCAAAAACCTCCCCTCTCTCTTCCCCCCTCTCTCTTCCCCTCACAACTCTACCCACATTCTGCACTGTGAGTCTGTCTCTCTGCTAGCAGCAGTGGCACTCGAAGCTGACACAGAGCTCTGTCTAGATGTCTGCTGCACTCCCCCCTCTGGAGGTCCCCAACCCCTCCCAGACGCTCCATCAGGCCCCTCAGGACCTTGATGGCTGGTGTGTGAGCATGTTCCCTGTGGACTTGCTCAAGCTGGCTTCTGGGGTGATGCCCATCCAGCTGTGCACTTGCGCACCGGAGCCTGTGGTCCGTGACCACAAGGCCTTCAAAGACTGGGTGTACATCACTGAGGGGTGGCTCTTCATCAAGATTGATGCCACCCTGAAGGTACCCCTTTTTAATGCCCTCAATGTGGGCAGGGCTGGCAGCCTGCGCATGGCTTAGGGTTAGGGTTAGGGTTAGGGTTAGGGTTAGGGTTAGGGTTAGGGTTAGGGTTAGGGTTAGGGTTAGGGTTAGGGTTAGGGTTAGGGTTAGG